AGGCCCACCCTTTCAGCCCCATCTCTGAAAGATGTTGCATCCATCTTGGCACACCTCCACTGTTGTCTCAAGTTACCTCCTGCTATTGCCACCACCACCTATAGTTGCAGTAGTATCCATCCTGGGACATAGGCAGGAAGCCCAATACCAAGGTGAGGTACAAATAATCTGAGGTACAAATAAACTGACATAAATGGAATATTTCAATCTTCAATGCGGAAATACATTTTCTTCTCAATAGCATATGGATCCTTCTCTAAAAAAGACCATATATTATGCGACAAAGCAACTCTTAGCAAATATAAAAAAGTAGAGATACTATCCTGCATTCTATTGGATCATAATGGCATGAAATTAGAAATCCAAAAATAGAAGCTACTCCAACACCTGGAGACTAAATAGTATGCTACTAAATGAATAACAGGTTTCGAAAGACATGAGGAAGGAGATTAAAAAATTTTTAGAGGTGAAAAGGAACACAGATACAACATATCAAAATCTCTGGGACACTATGAAGGCAGTACTAAGAGGAAAGATCATTGCATGGAGTTCATTCCTTAAAAGAAGAAAGTTAGGCTGGGGATGTGGCTCAGCTGATAGAGTGCTTGCCCAGCATGCACAAAGCCCTGAGTTCAGTCCCCAGCACCAAACGAAGTAGAAAGAAGAAGAGAGAAGAAGAAGAAAAAAAAAAGTCAACAATTAAATGACTTAACACTACATTTCAAAGCCCTAGAAAAAGAACAAATCAACACCAAAAGCTATAGAAGAGAGGAAAAATTAAAATCAGGCAAAAGAAACAATTTAAAAAATTGACAAAACAAAAAGTTGGGTCTTTGATAAAATAAATAAAATTGACAAACCCTTGGCCATGCTAATGAAGAGAAGGAAAGAGAAAACTCAAATTACTAACATGTGATGAAAAAGGAAATATCACAGCAGACACTACAGAAATACAGAAGATAATTAGAAATTACTTTGAAAACTTCTACTCCAATAAAATAGAAAATATCAAAGGCATCGACAAATTTCTACAGTCATATGATTTGTCCAAATTGAATCAGGATGATATACACAATTTAAAAAGATCAATTTCAAGCGATGAAATAGAAGACACCATCAGAAGCCTACCAACCAAGACAAAGTCCAGAACCAGAAGGACACACAGCTGAATTCTACAAGACCTTTAAAGAAGAATACCAGTTTATCATAGCCATATGATCATCTGAAGAGATGCAGAAAAAGCATTCAACAAAATAGAGCACCACTTCATGTTCAAAACACTAGAAAAACTAGGGATAACAGGAACATATCTAAACATTATAAAGGCTTTCTATGCTAAGCCCCAGGCTAACATCATTGTAAATAGAGAAAAATTAAAAGCATTCTCTCCAAAAACTGGAACAAGACAGGGATGCCCTCTGTTACCATTTCTATTTAACATAGTTCCTGAAACACTGGCCAGAGCAATTAGAAAGATGAAAGAGATTAAAGGGTTACGGATAGGAAAAAGAACAACTCAAATTGGCACTAGATGCCAACGGTATGATTCTATACCTAGAATACCCAAAAAATTCCACCAGAAAACTTCTAGAACTAGTAAAGAACTCAGCAAAGTAGCAGGATATAAACTCAACATCCATAAATCAAAGGCCTTTCTGTATATCATTGATAAGTTCTCTGAAAGGGAAATAAGGAAAACTACTCCATTTACAATAGCCTCAAAAAGACATAAAATACTTGGGAATCAACTTAGCAAAAGAGGAGAAAGACCTCTCAACAAAAACTACAATATGCTAAAGAAAGAAATTAAAGAAGACCTTAGATGATGGAAAGATCTACCTCGTTCTTGGATAGGCAGAATTAATATTGTCAAAATGACCATACAGTGTACAGATTTAATACAATTCAATCAAAATCCCAATGACAAGCCTCATAGAAATAGAAAAAATAGTCATGAAATTCATCTGGAAAAATAAGAGACCCAGAATAGCTAAAGCAATCCTTAGCAAGAAAAGTGATATAAGTATATAAGTATAACAAGCCTTAAACTATACTACAGAGCAACAATAACAAAAACAGCATGGTACTGGCACCAAAATAGACTAGTAGACCAATGGTACAGAATAGAGGACACAGAGACTAACCCACAAAATTACAATTATATTATATTAGACATAGGTGCTAAAAACATACATTGGGGAAAAATGACCTCTTCAACAAATGGTGCTGGGAAAACTGTAAATCCATATACAACAAAATGAAACTAAACTCATATTTCTTACCATACACAAAACTTAACTCAAAATGGATCAAGGACCTAGGAATTAAACCAGAGACTCTGTGTCTAACAGAAAAAAAAGTAGGCCCTAATCTTCATCATGTAGGATTAGACCCCAACTTCCTTAATAAGGCTCCTATAGCGCAAGAATTAAAACCAAGAATCATTAAATGGGATGGAATCAAACTACAGAGTTTCTTCTCAGCAAAAGAAACAATCTGTGAGGTGAAGAACCTACATACTGGGAGCAAATTTTTACCCCTCACACATCTGATAGAGCAGTAATCTCTAGGGTATATAAAGAACTCAAAAAGCTAAACAGAAAAAAAAAAATAACCCAATCAATAAATGGGCCAAGGACCTAAACAGACACTTCTCAGAAGGAGATATACAATCAACTAACAAACAACCCAATCAACAAATGGACAAGGACTTGAACAGACACTTCTCACATGCAGATATACAATCAATCAACAAATATATGAAAAAATGCTCATCATCTCTAGCAATCAGAGAAATGCAAATCAAAACTACTCTAAGATATCATCTCACTGCAGTCAGAATGGCAGCTATTATGAAGACAAACAACAATAAGTGTTGGCAAGGATGTGGGAAAAAGGTACAATCATACATTACTGGTGGTACTACAAATTGGTGCAGCCAATATGGAAAGCAGTCTGGAGATTCCTTAGAAATCTGAGAATGGAACCACCATTGGACCCAGTTATCCCTCTCCTCGGACTATACCTAAAGGACTTAAAAACAGCATACTACAGGGACACAGCCACATCAATGTTTATAGCAGCACAATTCACAACAGCTAAACTGTGGAGCCAACTTAGATACCCAGTTCTGTGGATAAATGGATAAAAAAAAATGTGGCATATATACACAATGGAATTTTACTCAGCAATAAAAGAGAATAAAATCATGGCATTTGCAGGTAAACGGATGGCTTTGGAGAAGATAATGCTAAGTGAAGTCAGCAAATCCCAAAAAAAGAAATGCTGAAATGTTTTCTCTGATATAAAGAGGCTGATTCATAGTGGGGTAGGCAGGGCAAGCATGAGAGAAATAAATGAATTATAGATAGGGTAGAGGGGTGGGAGGGGAAGGGAGGAGGCAGGAAATTAGCAAGGATGGTGGAATGTAATGGATACCATTATCCAAAGACACGAATTGGGTGTCAATCTACTTTATATACAAACAGAGATATGAAAAATTGTGGTATATATGTGTAATGAGAACTGTAATGCAAAAAAAAGTACATGTATAAAGACATGAATTGGAGTGAACATACTTTATATACAAAGATATAAAAAACTGTGCTCTATATGTGTAATAAGAATTTTAATGCATTCTGCTGTTGTGTATTTTAAAAATAAAATCAATTAAATTTAAAAAAAGATGATGACTATTAAAAAAAATACAAATGTTTCTTTTTCTGAAATTCTTCCCTTCCTTGTTCTCTGGGAAACCTACAAATAATTCACTATAAATAATTATGATTAAAACATAGTTAAAATCTACATGAATATAAATGTGATTAAAGAAACAAAAGAATATAGGTCATATACTAGAAATTTAGATTAAAATAAAAGACTAAACAAGATAAAAAGACCAAATTTAAAGATCTTAAGGATCTGAAATCTCTTAAGGAAATATAGTCAATTATAAAGTAGCTGTTTTCTGGAATTTATCAATTTTCTTTAAACTTCATGTTTAAAACTATTTAGTAACTTACTGAACTTTCAAATATTACATCTGTCTTTGGATCAAAATCAGTGAAAGTGAAAAAAGTTTAATTATGAAAATTTGTCAGAACTTACAAAAACTCTGTGAGGTTATAGTTATTCTGAAATAAAGACTATTCCTTAAATTTAGTAATATAATTTTATAAAGACTCTGCAAGAGAGATAGATAAAATCAGGTTAATCACAAAATATTTGCGAGTGGATGGCAGGCATAACGATCTATGTCTGGAATCCCAGGTACTCAGGAGGCAAAGAGGATTGCCTCCATAATTTAGCAAGAACCTGTTTCAAAAATAAAATAAAGTGTAGCTCAGTGGCTTCACTGGCTTCAATCCCTTGTACTGCTAAATAAGTTTAACAAGAAGAACAAAGGAATTTAACAAACTCTTTACAACTGGACATGGTAAAAACTTTTCCATGTTGCAAATATGCTAGGAAAGTTACAATTTTATGTACTTAATCACAACATTTTATCTTAAAATTTAGAATACTAAAAGCTAAATTGTAATGCAGGGTTTCTTAGCCCTGCATTAGGGACTTCTTTGTTGTAGGGGCTGTCCTGAATACTCAAAAAATTTTAGCAGACCCTTGACATCCACCCACAAGATGCTCTGAAATGTCTCCAGACATTGCCAATGTACCTGTGGAGATAAAATCACCTGCAGTTGAGAGTCACATTAATGTATTGCTGTTTTAAATGGGTTTTGATTAAAACATAGTTAAATATATATATATATAATAGAACTCATGTGTGTGAAAGAGTGTGAGACCAAGAAAAGAAGCCATGAGAAAGAACTTTGAAAATTCTACAGATATCTAGAATTCAAAGCAGTGTGAAAGAATAACAGCATTATTACAGAGTAAAAGCTTTCTGTTCCATCAGAAAGAAAACTTTGCCATTGTTAAAAAACAATTTAAAATGTCATGTGAAAGCATCACTCAAAAAACTGAAATAAATAAAATCTTACTTTTCCCTATGGTACTTTGTACCGGCCCTTGATCCCAATCTTTAGGACGTACATTTGCTTTACTATCTGATTTAATTGCAGATTGTTTTGATGATAAAGATGAAAGTTCTAGAGCATTGTATGAATCAAACAAATCCCAGGTAGTGGCCATCATGCCTAAAGAGAAAGAAAGGAAAAATTATTTGAAATCAAAACTATTGTATCAGATTTACACAAAATCAGTCATAGCAAAATCTAAGAATATCTAGTACTTATTTTCTTTAAAATCACTGTTTTTATAATAATGGCAGAAAGTAAATAAAGATGACAAATAATTCATGAGACCACCTCAAGAGATCCTCTGTCATCACACTATTAGCATATACAAATACCTTAGTGCTTTAGGGATAGCTCCAAATTATCTTTACTGTAATTTCTGATCTCCACACCTCTTTTCCTTCTTTTTCAAGCTTATCTGGTATAATATCAGCAGTCTGTTATTATGGGTCCACTTAGTGATATGGACCTGGATAATAACATGATAAGATTTTTATATTCTTACATATCATGGTCAACACATACATATTATAGTCTCCAGATCTGTTTATTTGAGAAGAAATGATTCAATTTTTATCCAGTAAAAATTTCTTATATTCCTATTAATGTGAAAGGTTATACTTGTTGAGAAAATGATAGATTCTGTTTTCAAGAAATTTGTAGAGTAGTATGGTTATTATCTCTTTTTAAACCTTGTTTAAGTTTGATAAATTTGTTCATATCATCTAAAAATAACAATAGTCCCCAAACAAAAACTGGGCATATTACTAATCTTCAAATAATAATAATAATTTAAAAGTTGCAACCCCTTTCACTGCTGATTTATACCACTTTTTAGCAATTATTTTGTCAGTGATCACAAACAATATATTTCTAAATGTTAAACTTCTTAACTTTCAGTTAAATCAAGGTGTTTTAATAAAATAATTCTTTTCCTTAAAAATTAAAAATAGAATCTAAACTCAATAAATGCAGTTACTTCATTGCTAGAACTATTGTTTTCCTAATATGAAATAAAGGAGCTTTGGTATCTAATATTTTCAATAAGTAAGAATACTAACTCAAAATTTCATAATTTTCTATCTTAATGAAATTTTTTAATAGCATCTAATGAGTAATACAAAGAATAAATATTAGTATATTTTAATGAATTGGAAAGAGTACAATTTCTATGTTTATAAAGAGATCTAAGAAAGAAATTATATCCATGAATATTGAATTACTTTTTTTTTTTGGTAACCTTTAACTGAAAGTTTGGTAAGCTCAGTATGTAGGAATATATTGTTACACAGTCATTAATAATATAATTGCTACACAAATAAATATACATATTACAAATTAGCAATGTTAAGATATTAGGGTGATTTAAAACTTTTTTATTTGAAGACAACAAATTACTGCTAATTTTAGTTTGAACATAATTACTTTTCTTAGTTTAAATAAGTTTAACAGAAAACCTCCAACCCATCAAACTATAAGTTAAATATGTTCATTTTTATATATCAAATAAAATATACCTCAATGATAAATAAATTTATGTCTCAAAAAATATATTTACATATCTCAATAAAGCTGTTAAAAATAAAATCTCAAGCTACAAGCCCTAATATTATGTTCAAGAAGAGTAATAAATAAAAAATGACTGCATTTTCCAATTTTATAGTTATATATTATTAAAGCTCTTAATTTAACTGGTAACAGAAAAAAAGTAGTTTAAATTATACTTTTTTTTTTTCCAGCACTTCTGGGTTGGTCTAAGATATTTCCAGTGGGAAATGGGTTGTGATAGGAGAGTGTCCAGGAGCTTTAAACAATTAAGGGTGTTCTATTTGTTAGGCTGGCTAGTAAAGCACATGGAATTAATTCTTTCTTTACACTACACATATGTGTTATACACTTCTATTAGTGGTAGTATTTCACAATAAATGTTTTTTAAGTATTAAATACATTATTTACACTAAATATTTCAAATACAACCAAGTAAATAGTAAGGTTTAATCATACAATAAAAGCATATCTCTTCTCTGCCTGATTTTGAATGAAACTCTGGAGATCAAAATATTACCTTCATTACTGGTAAGGGTGATTGAAAAATGTGGTCTTAAATCTACAACTAAACAGATTAAATACTTCTTTACTTCAGAATGTATGGAATAAATACTAACTAGCACAGCTAGATAAGCAATAACCTATTCAGCAGGGGTGACATCAGAATGCAAGCCTTCTGCAAGTGAAAAATCATAACTAAAAAATTTGGAAGTGGTCGAGCTTTAATTTATTTTCCTAAAAATTTCTTTATCACATTAGTCACTTTTCCTTTCTTAGGAATGAATGAATAAAGTACACAGAGAGGTCAGAAATTATTAATTTAGCTGAATTACTTCTGTAAAGATTCACTTAACGTGAGAATGACTTTCCCCTGACAATATACATACAGCAAATTCTGGTAAAGGTGGTTGTTCAAATAACTGAATTTCTTCAATTTATCTAAAGACACCTAATGGAAAGGAGATCAGGAATTAAATTAAGAGCAGTAACGGCAAGCTATATACAGAGAAAAATCCAGGTAGATAACACTGTGTGAGGGGTGGTGGGGTGGGTGTCTTTCACTCCATTAATATTGTATATTATATAGATTGATTTCCATATGTTGACCCCCTCTTGCATCAGTGGGATAAACACTACCTGACCATACTGTATAATCCACTTAATATGCTGCTGAACTGAGTTTATTTATACTTTGTTAAGGATATTTACATCCATAATAATAATGAACATTGGTCTATAGTTTTCTTTTATTTCAATTTCTTTATCTGACTTTGGCATCAGAATAATGCTGGTCTCATGAGTTTCAAAATGTTCCGTTCTTTTTTTTCCCTTCTCATTTTTGAAAAGATTTGTATTAAATCTTCTATAAATGATTCATAGAATTCACCTGTAAAATCTTTGATAGGAGGTTTTTGGTTACTAATTCAATCTCTTATTGTTTTGGTAAGCTTTAGCATCACTGTGACCAAACTACCTGACAAGAACAACTTAGAGGAGGAAAAATTTATTTTTCCATATGGGTATCAGTGATCTCAGTCCATAGAGGCTCCATTCCTCTGGGTCCAAGGTTGAGGCCGAGTATGGACTCGCTAGGTTCCAGCTCTCATAATCCAATTACTATATATCTGAACACTTCTGCACGAACACAAGACACTGGGGAATGTCTTATATCCAAACTATTAAATCTGTCATGCATCAGTTGAGATTTTCTATTTCTCCTTGAGTCAGTTTTGGCACTTTGTGTGTGTCTAGGAATTTGTCCCTTTTATTTAGTTATCTAATTTATTGGCATACAATAGTTCGTAGTATTATATTATAATCCATTTTGTTTGGGGAAGGTCAGGAATCCCACTTTCACTTCTGATTCTGGTAATCTGAATCATTTCTCCATTTTTGGGTAGTCAATCTTGCAAAAGTTTTGTTAATTTTGTCTATCTTTTCAGACTACCAACTTTTTTTTTATTTACGAGTTCTGAAATCTTCTTATCTCCACTCTAATCTTTATTATTCCCTTCCTTGTGCTAGCTTTTGTATCTTTACATCTTAAGGTATAAAAGTTATGTTACTGGTCTAACCCAGACCTCACACTTGCTAGGCAAACATTCTACAATGAGCTACATCAGCTATAAATGTCGCCCTAAGCATTGCTTTCACTGCAGTCCATAAGTTCTAGCATATGGTATTCTCATTTTTATTTGTCTAAAAGTATTTTTCAACTTCTCTTGTATTTTATTCTTTAACTTACCAGTTGTTTAAGAATATGCTGTTGATTTCTACATATTTGTGAATTTTCCACTTYTCCATCCATTATAGATTTTTAGTTTCATTACACTATGGTCAGAAAAGTTCTCCAGATGATGTCAAAATTTAAAATTTTATCAACTCATGTTTTGTGTCCTAATATAATGGTCTATCTTAAAGAATGTTGCATGTAAACTTGAGAAAAATATGTATTTTGCTGTTTAGAGGTTGAGTATTCTGTGTATGTTTGTTATTCTAGTTAGTTTATATTGCCATTAAAATCCTATATTTTCCTACTGATCTTGTTCATTGTTCATAATTGGCAGTGGTATATTGAAACTATTATTGTAAAATTGTCGATTTTATCCTCCAACTGTGTCCATTCTTGCTTTGTATCTTTTGGGGTTTTCTTGTTAGGTGTATGTGTTTATAACTGCAATATCTTCTTTATAGATGTTTTTGTTTCTTATAACAATTTCTCTAAAGACTCTTGCATAATACTAGTATAACTGTCTTAACTTTCTTTTGGTTTCTATTGGCACCCTTTCGCATATACTTGTGTCATTGGATCTAAAAACCCTACTCCTTACACAGCTCCATCCCACCACTTTATGTTGTTTTCAAAATTATGTTTACACATTATATGTCCATTAACATAGTCTTATAATTATTGTTTTTCTTTTGGAGAGTGGGTACTGGGGATTGAACTCAGGGGCAGTCAACCACTGAGTCCTTTATGAATCACTTTTCTATTATTGCTTTCAAGATTTTTCTCTTTGTGTTTTGACAGTTTAATTATCTGGTGTCTCTACATGGATGTCGTTGTTTATCCTTCTTATAGTTTGTTGACCCTTTTGGAAGTGCAGATTTATGTCTTTTATCAAATTTGAAAAGACTCTGGTCATTTCTTCTTCAAACATTCTTTGCATCCTTTATCTCCTTCCTCTATGAGAGTGACATTATGTATATATAGCCATGCTTATGGTATCTCATGGGTCCCTCAGGTGTTGCTCACTTTTATTTTTTTCTTTCTGCTACACAGGTTAGAATTTTTAAATTGATCTATCTTTAAGAATCAATGATTATTTCACCATCTTGCTCAAATCTACTATTGAGGGCTGGGGATGTGGCTCAAGCGGTAGCGCGCTCGCCTGGCATGCGTGCGGCCCGGGTTCGATCCTCAGCACCACATACCAACAAAGATGTTGTGTCCGCCTAGAACTAAAAAATAAATACTAAAAATTCTCTCTGTCTCTCTCTCTCTCACTCTCTCTCCTCTCTCATTCTCTCTTTAAAGAAAAAAAAATCTACTATTGAAAACTCCAGTTTTT